TGCCGTTCTTAAATATCTCGACCATTTCGTCTCTTTCGGGTTCTGAGTGGTTTCAAAACCGTTCCATCGAAAGTGCACGTTAAGTCATGCGAGATACCTGTCCGTTGCAACCGTGACGCCACGGCCATTTTTATAGATCGCGTTTCAGCGTTTTGCTGATGCCTGTTGTTCCCGGTTTATTGTCCCCGCTGATACAGCGTATCGTTCGGCCAACCGGTCCTTGTTACGTGTAATTGGAAACTCGAGAACCGCTTGCACACGCAGCCCGAAATGATTAACAGATAGCAGACCGCTGACCCTGTCAAAGCCTAGAAACGTTACGAGGACATTTATCGGTGCACGCTACTTGTCGTACTCCGCATAAACATTTTTCTAAGCGTTTAAGCTGATAATGTTTCCTACGTTTTCGACAATTCCTTTAGTCTTATCTCTAGCCGCGTAAGTATTCAAATAATAATAAATAAATAATAAACATTACAGTAATAATACATACCCATGTCATAAGCACAGTATTCGCCTTTTTCCAGAAAAGCCTGGAATTCCAACAAAAAAAGTATTACTCAGGGAATAGTATTCATGATTATATGTACTGGTAATCGTAAATCGTTCAAGATGGATCGGGACAACTAACCTGTCCAGTTAAGTGTCGCATTCAGACAGAAAAATCTAATAGAACAATTTATCGAGCTTGTTTCCAATTATCGAGACCTGTCCGTGCTGCGGAGGGCAAGAAGCTACTCGACCACCGTAATTAATTCTGTATTCTTTTCTACTAAGCAAATAGCATTGTGCTTCCATTGGACGGTTGTTGGTTCTATAGGAGTACCGGCACGGTTCATGTTTTCGAGTATTAAATAAGGTTAACTATTAATATGAAATATTAAACATTAAATATTAAATATTAAACATTAAACATTAAACATTAAACATTAAACATTAAACATTGAATATTAAACATTAAACATTGAATATTAAATATTAAATATTAAATATTAAATATTAAATATTAAGTATTAAATAGACTTATAAACGAAGTTTAACGAATGAGGAAGAGAACAAGTTCGGACAGTAAGAGTCTACTAATTCTCCCTCCACTTACCCATGTACTGAAAAATATAAAATATCCTACTAAATTATTCTAGAATACGAGCCAATTGAAATCTTGCAGTTTATATGGAACAAACTGTAAACTGTAGTTGTTCGAATTCTATGGTTAAAAGAGTTCTAGTGTTCAAATTCCACTGAAACAAAATACTCGCTAAAGAATATGAGTAACTAAAAATTGTTAATTAAAGCTATCTTGGATTATTTTAAATTTACAGTCTAGACTTGAAATTACTAATTAAAAATTTCTATAAAGTATTCCGTATCGAATTTTATACCGTTCAATTCGTATGGATTCAAGCAACATCAACTGCAATTAAACTGAAATGAATGAAAACTTGTCCCTGAAGAGGTTAAAGGTTGTTGATTCTCTATCAGGTTTATCGTGCACCCGTTACTTTTCCGATTGCGTCACGTGTCGCGGGAGTGTTTCAGCCGGGTCCACATGGACACCCACGTGGTTAACGTTGGATAAAATGGCGCGGTGCTGCGTATCGCGCGTAGTACCTCTCGCCACGAGTCGGATTACTCGAGAGCCAAGTTAATTACGATAACGGGATGTGGGTGTAATAAATATTGGCGCGAGCCCGCGCACGCTCGAAATCAGCCGGATTTCGCTGGAAAGATCGCGTTCGCTCGCTCGCTTGCATAATGCGCCTACTTAGGGTTGTCTCTCCCGGGCACAACCGGACGAGACGGTTCGGTTCGGCCGAGAGCCAGCTTATTAACGAACGTGAATTAATAACGCCGTTTTTCGAGCGCGGATCGTAAAACCGTTTCGAACGGCCCCTTACGCAATTTCTCGCGGGAACGATTGATTTTATTTTCACGAGCGGCTTCTCATCGACGCTTGTTTGTCGCGCGACTGAAATTTATCGTGCTTGCAACATTTCAAGCGGGAGACACGGGAGCTTTTCGTTCTTTCCACCCTTTCCGTTGCGGAAGTAACATTGAAATGTAAACCGAATGTGCTTTGATTTTTCTTTTGAACTTCCTTTGATCGGTGATCGTAAATGTGGATCCATTGCTACTTTTGTGTGTGTGTTATTATGTCAATCAATTCTCATTAACAGAGGAAAACACATTGACTTTTTACTTTCAACTCGACATTTGTTAATTTGTACAAGTCAATTTGAACAAACAAACTACATTATTTCTTTGTTTAAAAAATTAGGAAATAAAGATTGAATAAAATAGCACAACTGAAAGATTATACTTGAACAAATATTAACGGTTATTTGCTTTATATGGTAAGAAACTTCTGTTTCAAATCATCTGATAATACAGTAACAAAAGAAAATAATTGCTTCTCTTCTTGTTCTGATATCCTTATTGAAATTAATTCAAATAAAAGTTATTTCCTACCTCCATTTCCCGAACGTTTCAGTTGATGCTTCGAAATAAAAAATTTTCGCAAAAAACTGCAATAGCAAAGTTCGAAGAAACGCAAACGTTTCGGTCGCTGACACGAGGATTAATCGTTCGGTTTAGCAAAAACGAACCGAAGAACGTGGCGGGGTTAAGGCGCCGCATGGGAAACGGGTCGCATGACGAAATCGTCCGGCGGACCTCCGAGGAATCAACTTTTATTGCCGCTCGTACAGCTCGAACAATTTCGTCTGGCTAGAACATCTATCACAATTGGACGACGATAGAGTAGATTGCGGCGGTAGGGAGTGTGCACGGTCTGGCGGTCCGAGATATAGGTGGGCGTTCTGCCGGATATGGTTCGCCGGAAGTAGGGGGACCCTTGCCACCGACACGCTCGGTGCTCCTCGACTACGGGCAGGGACGTCATTCGCGGTGTGATTCGTTGCTACGCCGAAACGGAACGGTCTGCCGTCATTCCGATGCTCTGTACGTCGTGATAAAAGTTATCTGCGTTGCGCAAGCCGCCCGACACTTTCTTCCCGCTCTTAAGTTCATGAACCCGTAAACAGCACGCACCGCGGCCATTCTAAAAACGGATGTACAACCTTCGAGTCACCGCTCACCGCGGCGAAAAATCCTGTCAACTTCTGTTTAGAATTCTCGAACACCTACTACTTACTGTTTTGTGGAGAAACTGCGGCTGGTCGAAGTCGAGCCAAGTTTCCCAATTCTTTAATCCTTTAAAGGCGTTTGACGAGTACACCCGTCACGAGGAAATGGCCAATTTTGTATCTAATGAACAGGATATTTGGCAGGCGAGGAAATTATTTACCTTTTGGTAGAGACATTGAAATTTTTGTAATCCTTTAACAGTGAAATATCATTTTAAAATTACTGATTTGCGCGTGCGGTTGGGAACAAGCGATGGTAAATATACTCGTCAAACACTGTCAAATAGTTGAAAGGATCCTTTTGCAATACAGAGAACGTTAAGAATCTCCTCAACTTCATGCTAAGCAATAAATTTCTATACGACTCTATTTAACTAACAATAAAACGACCTGCTACCTCCAGTAACTATGGAGCCAGCAGTTGATGCCACGATAAATCTTCATTAAAAAAAATATAATGCGTCCCAAAAGAATTTCTTGAAGTTTCTTTTCAAAGCAAAAAAGTATAACTGTTTTTACATTGGAGTGTAGAATTTTATTTGCCCCTTAAACTGTAAATGCTATTTGATAGAAATTAAAGATTTCAAGGCTTTGAAGGAATAATTTTATTTATTACCAAATATTATAGTAGCTTTGTAAAAATCAGTTTCGAATTGATTGTACTGTCAATGATTAAATTAATTCTTCATTAATGATTGAAACGTCAAAGATTATTTATAATAATCTAATAGTACTTTAAAATTAGCGATTATTTGTTACGGATTTGTTAATTAAGCTTTGCACAGTACTCGTCTCGTGCAATATGAGTTAATAATTCTTTTCGGAATCGGTGTCTGCAGAAAACTATTAAGCTTCTGTTTAATTAGAAGCTCACCTACAGCACGCACCATGTAATTCACATATGAATAATATTTCCTTTGGAGCCACATCTCTAATGTGTGCATGAATATGCGATGTATTTACAAAGAACTTTTTTTCGATAAAATATTGTCTCGATCTTGAGTGAAAATTTGATAGAAATCCCTTGTCGTATGATCTGTTGAACTTGCTTCCGGTAATTAAAGCATTAAATATGTTCAAAATGGCTTCTCCTTTGAAGACTGCAAGGTCGTTTTCATGGATCGTCAAGGCAGTGCATTTCTCGAATTATTCGATAATTATCGCAGTGTTACAACAATCATGCAATCTTCAATAAAATTACATTACATCCAAGTTAATGTTTGCAGCAAATGTTTAACTTCAGGATTACAGTTTATATTTCTCGCCTGCCTTTTATGTAATAACGTAAGAAAACAATATTGCAAAATAATGGAGCTTCTCGATAGTTAGCTGTATTCGTTTGGATTCCATTGTTTTTATACAAAACGTGAAGCAGGATGGACAAAGAAACGAGACATTCACAAGTCAAAGTAACACACTTTGTTTCTTTTTTAATGTTTTCGAATTATAACAGGTAATAAGATACTTAAATGGTATGGTTTACTGATTTACTACTTCACTAATTTTTACTCACTAATCCCTCTACCTTTTATTTGGCGGAATTAATCACTTCGGCAAACGAATGGCTCAAACACGACTTGTTTACAAACTTCTCGTTTTAAAGATATCACGTACGTCGGCTCGTAATTTACGGATCGTAAATTAGTTTTGGAATAGAGTTCCCTTTTCCCTGTGAACGGTGAAATGAACGCGTTCAACAGGATTTGCATAATTCGCATTCGTACAAGATTGACGTGTCTAAAGGTTAATCCAATAGCACTTTTTCAGCATATCGTAGATTTTGAGGAATGTAATCGGAAAGCCGAGATCACGCTTCCTCTTCACAGATTTCTCCTTTCAGTGGCTGCGCGTTCCATGACGCAAACTGCCTCGGCGCGCGTGCCCCGCGAACGATGAAAAATATTGCAGTGTCAACTTATCAGTAACCGGCGGAAAATCTAAAACGGGCTTCACGACGCTTCCAGAAACGAGCATTGATAAATATTTTGAAGTGTTTTATATAATGCTACGAGTGAACCGGGATTGTTTTTATAATCGTTTATTGTGTAAGTGCTTTTTTTTATTTTCGTCTCTGGCGATACCGTTCGTAATCTTCTAGAGAATTCGAATCGTGAGATATAAATGAATAAGTTGGAAGAGGAACTGAAACTAACAAAGCGTATCATGTGTTTTGGTAGAGTTGCAACTTAAATAGAAATTGTCAGAGAAAAGGTACGATTATATTATTCCATGTTTTATTTTTTTATAAGTAATATAATGTTATTTTTGGAGAAATTGCAGTGGATTTTATTTTCATTTATAAGCTCGTTTCATTTTCATCAATAATACCATAAAACATGCGATCGTTGAAGTTTCAGTACTTCGTATAGTAGTAGCTTATAGATAAACTTTATATAGATAAACTTTCTTCGTATGATATATGAAGAAAGAAATATAAGAAAGAAATATATCATATGAAGAAAGAAAGTTAAGAATTTTCTTTTCGACGTTAAATAGCCAAAATACATTCATTAAAAATCTAACTCCAAAATCGAACAGAAAATTCGTTTCGTATTATTCATTAATATTATATAATTCTCTGCAATCATGCCTCGCAACAAAAGACACTGTTCAACTCGGCATATTATTAAGCCATCCATCGTTAACGCGTTAAAACAATTTCCTCCAGTAGAAGCTCGAAGAAACTAGCTAATTGCTTATCAGCTCGTTAATCCAACCCAAGAGGAAATAAAAGAATGCATCGCGTGTCGGTCTGCGCTGCATCGAACGCCGTGGACTAACAGAATATCAACCAATGGGGTAGACCTCCCATTCCTCTTAACGTATCGTCTGTTGACTGTTTTATTTTCTTTTTTCCTTGACTCTTACTTCTTTTATAGCCAAGCTACAATAATAAATAATAATAATCATTAATGAATAATCATTGCGATTATGTTACTATTCACTGTTTAAAATTCAACTTGTCTATTTATTATTTAACACGTTTCCAAGAGTAGTTATTACAAATACAAATATTTTCAATCGTATGTGAAAGGAATGAAACTTTTACTTTTAACGTAAAACGTCGGTGAAATAAATACAAATATTTGTTTACTACTGCTCGACGGTCCACGTAAAACGTATCCAGTAGGATACGTTTCTCTTATAAAATATGTTAACACATTCGAGATCAGCACCGTAGTCCTACGTCACTTGAAGAAATTGTTTAGCTAAATACTGGAAACCCCTGGTAGCCCCACGTTGTTTTTAATTCTGTAACAGAATCATTTTTAATTTTTTTAAAAGAATACTAATGAAGTAAACCCACGTCGCTTGTAATTCTTTTAAAAGCATAGCAGTCAATCCCACCTAACATCAAAATCTATAGCTAATCGTAAGCATTGACAACATGCGTAAACAGTGCTGTTATATATTTTCGATACTCATACGCATTTGAACAGCAGACCCTTGTTACTCGGCTACAGACTTTAGGGAATCATACTCGGTCGCGAATGCGTTAACAATCCCGACCGAAAATAAACCATCGGGAGATACACCACCTACCGGAGGTGACACGAAATCCGCGCACGCCCGCATCCACGCGCCACGCGCGCCGCCGTTTCGGCTGGATTTTCCGCGGCTCCGCGCCGCTTCGTCCCCGGGAAATGTCACATTAGATATCGTTCCGTCGCGTAAAAGTCGGCCTCGCGCGTCCCCGTTGCACGCGTGTCTGCGTAGCGCACGTACACGCCGCAACCGCGGAACTCTCACATCCCGGCCGTACGTACTATATGTATGTACGACGATTGCAGCGCGTGCAACAAACTGCGCAGTGTGCAGCGGCTGCAGGCACGCCCTTCTCCTCTGTCGCACGATACGTCGCGTGGTTCGCCTACATACCGGGTGTCGCCGTTTCCTTAGAAAGTTTCCTTTTCCCCTTTGTCTCTACCTTCTCTTTTTTCCCCCGTTTTTTCTTGCCCGCGATGGCGGCCCGCCGCCGCCGCCACTGCCACCGCCGCCGCAATTGCGCGATAAACGGTTCACTTGTTGCGGGGAAACACGCGACACGCGCCGATTCGTGGAAATGGATAAGTGGATAGACCAGATTACAATGGCGGTAAAAGTACAGATCGAAATTGCAAACGTATCCCGCCGGGTATCGGTCTTCCGCCGAGTGGATGGCTTTTAACCCTTCAGGAAGGACACTCAGTTTCCTTCGCGTTCTTTTTCTCCGTCGCAGACGTTAGCATACTTCGTTGACAATCTAGATGTTTTAATATTTTGTTTTGTAGTTAGCTTTAATTTTGAACAGAAGGAAGAATGGGTAATTATTTATAACACTGATTCCTTACCGGTTTAGATGACCTTGAAGTATGTTGTGAGAATCTTGATTCTGAACAGCTTCTCCTAATGTTACCGCCTCCTCAACAACCTTAGGTTCCCACATATTCGCAAAAATATATCCGGGAATGGGGAGCTTTCGTACTCATTTAAAAAAGAGTAGTTCTCGTATGACCTTGATCTTGACATATATTGTTAAGGTCATTCTTCCGTACACCCAAGGATTTAATCTTTTTGGGAGCGAGTATTGGTTCAAAAGTTATGAAGTGTTAAAGTTTCGCATTACGCTAGAAATTTTCGTCCTCATTTTCGTTTTTTATTGTCACAGAATGATTCCTTAAGTTTGTTACCTTAGTTGAACATATTGTATAGAAATTTTTCCGTCGAACGAGGACAGCCTATTCTCTATGATTAACGATAAACTCGAAGAAATGTTTCATGTAAACACGAACTTATAAATGCTTTATTAAAAGATCTTAATAAACATACGAAATATCAACTTACTAGTTTTTCGTTTGATAGGAAATAACAACTGATTATCGACGTTTAAATGAACTAATAGAAAACGTTCAACAATATGAATATTTTTATTTTGATTTCTTTAGAACACTTTATTGTATAAATATAATTACTACAACCAATTAAGCATGTGAAGATTTTAAAACCTACAATTACTTATAAGTACTGAACACTTTGGAATACAATGTTTTGGTATGGAAATATGTGTGAAATTCAGAGTCTTGTGCTAAGAGTGAAGTGGGTCATAATTCGAATGAATATGTTTCGGAATTGTCGCTATTCGTTTTAGTGACTAATGATTGTTTAGGGATGTCCAATAGTTACATGGAAACAGATTTGAGCCAAAGCAAACATAGATTCGTCCAGTTAATTTTGTATATTTGTTGGAGCTTCTAACCGTTACGTCACTGCTAAGGAGATAAAATGCAGTTTAATTAAAGACTGTTCTAAAATCATGGGATGATGTTTGATTTTAAAATGGATCTGATTAAGTGAAACACTTGAAAAGGTATAAAAATATTCATTTCTACAACTACAGTAATTGAAAATTTTACAGACGTGAAATCTTGATTTTACAGACAAAAACATTGCTCTTGATTGAAAAACAAATATTACCTGCAGTGCACAGGATGCATTACATATACAGCTGCTATAAATATACAGAACAAAAAACCAGCGATGCAACAGAGCTACCTGCAGTAATGGTTTATTACTCACGGAATACAAGTGAATCACGCTCGAAATATGAACAAAATTCTGAAGCAACCTAATACTAAATTATACGATAGAATAAATTCTTTATTGTATTATACTAAAAAAATTATTATTCTAAAGTTGTTAAATTATTTATTGTATTAACCACTTTAGGTCCTACGAACAAAAGTTGTGTAAAATAATTTCATGTTCTTCCGAGGTCAAATTACACATAATAAAATTCTGTGAAATACTTCAATTCTCCCGTTAAATAGAAATCCTATAATGAAATTTCTTATAAAATCAAATTGCATGAAATTCTGAAATTCTGCCGATAACTACAAACTGTGTTGAATAATTCGATTTCGTCCGAAATCGGGAAAGGGGATCGGTGTCGCGGTGTGTCGCGTCGGTGGTCCGCGATGCCCCAGCTTGTAGCGCTTGTACGTATACACAGGGACGTGCGATATCTCTCGTGGCAGTTCGCATGTGGAACGTGCACGCGGAACGGTATCGCCTTAAGGTTAACGCAATCGCTGATAGGTAGCCCCGACATAAGCGTTGCCGTGCCGGGAGACCTTAGTCGTCGCACACGAACCGTCGCTCGTCGTCCCGACATCAAGTGCATATCGCCGGCGACAACGGCCGGCCCGCGGTTATGCAACCCCGCTTGTTAGTTACTTGCTTATATGCACTGTTAAGCATCGCCGTGGCTTCTTTAAGCGACCCAACGCCGGCAGCGTTTAACGCGGCACACGTACGCCGCGCCGGCTTAATACGCGTACACACGCGGCGGGCAGCCTTCACCTCGTTTCAAGGGACATTTCCGCGGCTGTTAAGCTTAGTACGCAACGCGCGCCGCGCAGCCTGAAATTTCGAGAAAATGTACGCCGCGTACACGGGAATTCGTACTTAGATAAATAAGTCGTTGAATTTTCGATTCTAAGACTTTATTGCGGGATCTTCATCAACTGTTTAAACAACTTAGTTTTTTTGAAGTTTAGTATCATCACTGATCGATTAACAGATTCTTCTTTTGATAGAAACAATACTGTTTCTTCTGTTGTTGAAGATTAACAATTTTAATTACACTACTAATCAAACTTTTGTCGTTGTTGGGAATATGGGACAAGTTCAGAATGTTCTTTTCCTACGAGTAAAATATTGTTTCTCAGTAATAAAATATTTCTTATCGTCCCATTGAGCTTTAACCTTGATGAAACAGAATATTTGTGCAAAAATATTGCGATACTAAAGTCTGAACAAAGTGAAACATTTTGGTTGCCGGCATAAAGGTAAGGCATTTAATTGCATTGCTTATGGCCTGTGACGTAAAGATGACATCAAATCTCATTACATGTTTTTGTTTTAGCTATTCAAATCTTCCGCGCTCATGCAGTAATTACTTCTTTTTGTCTTAGCTGGCCATACCTTCCGCTCTCATAGAGTAGATAATTTATTATAATTTGCTTGCAGCGCTGGTTACAGTGGGCGGTGCTGTTTTCTTTAAAAGGCACTACAGTACACGGAATAATTGTAAGGTTCTAAGAGGGATAATTCTCCAAGTCCATCTACTGGAAATTACCGGCGGCCGGGATAGTGTTGCAGTAACGCGGGCAGAGGTTCACCCCCTAACGCGACCGAGCCAATTTTCCTTTCGATCCGATAAAGATTTATGTTCCATTCGGCTACCTGTGACGATTTCCTCGAGTGCGCGGTCGGCTGTTGCGGCTTTGCGGTTTCCAATCGAGGAATCAAGTAGTAAAGCGTATTATATAGGGTGTTGTCGGGACGGTAAACCGATACAGATTGCGTGAATCGTCGATCGATCGACGGAGGCGCGGAGAAATTATTAATTAGAACGCGATATGCTGCGCTCAATCGACCGGGCAGGGTTTCGATACATTCTATATATCGGAGATCATCCCGGCGTTCCTTAATCGCCGGTGATTACCGTGATCACTGTAATCGGTCGCCGCACGATCTCGCGGCAGCGTACACTCACGCTCAAAAGTCGAAAGACATTCGTCTATTTTCATACATTTTAATTAATAAAAACCGAATTTCGGAAAAGGATGACATTTTCCATTTTATATTGTGTAGTTTATTCGCGAACCTTCGATTACTTTTGATCATTGATTAATTGAAAGTGTTGTAACTGCATTTTTATGGACGTCGACGATTCAGATCGCTTATAAATACATCGCAAATATGAAAGTCAAGTAAAGTATAAAAATTCCACAATGAATAAACTGTGAGGAATTATCCAGATGCAATTAGTGGGAGCGGTAAATGATTTAAACGGAGTCTAAATAGAGGAAAAGAAGCATTAATCATTATTAGTCATTTTGGCGCAGCTTTGATTAAATTGTCGTGTAGTATTGTTATTCTCCGTAGGATTAAGTGCGTAAAAGTATTGGGCAAAATAGACTTTTTTCCTTACATACTTTATTACTACGGTTTTACTTACTTTTATGAAGTCTTTGGAGTTTTATCAGATGTTCTGCAATTTTTGAGCGGAAGTGTATTTCTCAGAAAATTATACATTCACTTTGTGCGTGTATCGAACCGCGAAACGAAAAAAAAGTGCGCGTGCATGTCAGTGAGCATCTTCGAGCTCGAGTTCTCGATCGCGTGTCTACCTTTACATTTACTTCGTAATTATCAATATGATGACAGTAATCGCGGATTGCAAAGTGCTTCTTTGTACAGAGAGATTACACGCGATTAATCGATACGGATCTGGACACATTTGAGGTAGTAATATATCAAGTAACATCTTAAGTAACATGTCACTGAATGATAAGAAGAAAATATCATCCATACTTTGTAAAGAGAAGTTCTTATCGCAAAAAATTTATTATTTTTATTATATGCTCACTACTCACGAACTCGCAGAGTTCACTTGTATAAAATGTAACCACACTTATTTTTTTCAAGGCTACACATTTTGAAATAAAGAAATAACGAAATCGCGAGTCACTTAAAATTAACATCGTTCCAAGTAAATCAATATTTCCCATACTTTTAAAATAAATAACTAATTAATTTATCCAAGCCTGCATCGCATTCGAATACTATTTCACCTGACAGTGTCGCTAACATCACACATTACATACTATTTTATAAATGCTCTATTAGAATATATACTATTTTACAGCGAATACTATTTTACCTAGCAGCTTCTCGATTTTCTGAGTTTCGTGGAAAGCAGTGCAATTGTCAGCGTCGATCCGGGACACTTTGTCGTGGACTGGTTTTCGATTCTGGTATTTATCAGCGGGCGGCGCTCTAAGCGGCGGTTCGCAATTTTCTGCGATGCTTTTCAGATCCCGAACGGGATTGTGTGCGCCTCCCCCGTCCCTGCGGCTGGGTTACAACACGCGCGTTTGTTCCATGACAGAAAGAGAGACCAAGTTGAAGGTGAATGGCGGGCGTGGCGATCGGCCAAGGTAGGATGAGTGCATCCTGCTCGAACAACGCCTTGATCACCGTCTTCCTCTCCTCTGAAGGGACTGGCTTGTACAAAGAAGAACGAAGGGCTTTCATTCGAGACACTCGATATATACTTTTTGTCCTGCAATTTGAAAGTTGAGTCGTTTAACCTCTTCAAACCTGACGTACATTTCAATGTGCGCTGTTTTACTATTTTAATATCTGACCGAATATTAAAACCAGGGATTGAAAAGGCTCTGGAAATAACTATTCGAAACTGTTGTATATCGTTATATATTGCATATTATAAACTATACTATTGCATATTTCGTATTATAATATATACATTAAATATACTACATATATATTTTGATATAAGAGATTCACGTAATTTTCATAATAAAAGTAACTGAATTTTTGATTTACTGTGTTCAACATTTTTATTGATCTAAATATTTGAGATTAAAGCCCATCAAAGCTCTGTACACTTTGGTTGTATATTCAAAGGTTAATATAATCTATTAAGAGAGTACGACGAGAATTTGGTCTTGAGGTTACGTCTTCTGAGGGAAATGAGAATTCCAATGATTTATGATGAAGTGTGCAGGACAGTATCACGAACGAGCTTTTGAAAGTGAAGTTGATTACTGTAACAGCTGGGCTGATAAATTAATTCAGAAATGAGAGAAGAAATCATGCAAGAAGATAATCACGCAGCAGATGATTAATGATTTTTGAGTATGCACGCGTAAATTCTTGAGACGTAAGTCACTTGGTCCGAATACACTCAGAAGGTTATGCAAGGGTACTGTTATACTGCATAAAATGATTAAATGTTGAGAACTGTTGGTAATATTCCTCGTTTACAAACCTTAGTACTTGTGTTAGTTTTTCCATTCCATTATAAAGCAGACTCAACGGAACTTCGTTAACATCAGAACCACCAGATGTACCAAACTGACCCAAGACATGAGTGTCTTCTTTCGTAATTATAGAAAAGGTACAGATCATTTTCTGAGAATTCATTCGATAAATTGATGTAGATAAACTCAACTAGAATATAAGGAAATTGAAATCTCAATAAATATATTTTTATCTTTTTCATGAGAAAATACAAAATATTGTGCAATTACAAAAACTTGATCTTGTTGCTCACCGTCCATAGCTATTTATTTATTTACGGCTAGTATTTTTAAGGTAATTACCATTTGTTTTATATAAATACTATATAAATACTTTATTATTCCTAAGAATTTTAAGCGAAGGTGCATTCTTCTTCGAACGCTTGTTAATTAGAAATTTTCATGCGTTTAATCTTGATATCTCGTTATTCGTCCGTGAGACATTAAGAACCCCTGTCTGGCATGACGATCAACTTTCGATTAACAATGTTGCTTAAATGGTCCCGAAACCGTATCCACGTTTCTCGCTCCGGAATCAATGTCCCTCGTTCCTCTTCGATCATCCGGGCAGCTGAGTCATTCGCCGTTATCCGGGGCCCCGTCTTACCAGATCCGATCACGCCGAATCATTTCGGAAATCACGGGATCAAGGTCATCGAGACGCATGACGTCCTCCACGTGTCGTTCTCTTGGAGTCAGTCCCTTGTGCCCTTTGAACCGATCTAGAGGCACGTTTAAAACCTTTTTCATAAATAGTTAAATCATACGTCTATCAAGCTTTTAAATACTCGAAAAGAAGAAAGCTGGATCGATCTTTTATACACTGCCCAAAAGTGCCTGCC